AGTTTGTAGAATAAATGAATAATAATAATGTAATGAATAAAGCTTAAAAAAGTAATAAATAAAAAAATATAAAAAATATAAGATGAAAACAAATAAAATATTCTTTAAAAATGATTAAATTAAAAATAATCATAAAAGTGAATAAACAATTATTCTAGTTTTGAAAATAACTTAAAAAAACATTTTTTTTAGCCATGATCAATTATTATTTTAGAGACAGGATCGATTGGAATGGGCATACTTATCGTAAATCAAGTCCGCTGCTGTCAATAATGTTAATATAAATTAATTATGATTTTTTTTTTGCACATTGAAGTTAGAAGCTAGATTTTACTTAAATAACAATTCTTTTGAACCATTCCCATTACCGTTACCTCATAATATTTATTTCAGGTTTTCAGAAAAAAAAGTATTTATATTTATAAAATTATTAATTCGTTTTGAACCGAATTTTTATCTTAAAGTAGATAGATACATTTGATGTTTGCATTGCCTCCGAGGGATCACTTATGGGAAATAATATAAAGTAATAGTAAGAAAATTATAATATAATTTTAATATCATAACAAAGATTTATATAATATAATAAAATAACAATGCAATTGTCTTTACCATAATGACTCGATTAAAGATATAAAAAAACTACATCTTAAAATCCTATGAGGTTTTGAACCAACCACTAACCGAGTTTTTTTTTTTAATGAAACATAATGTACGTAAAACAACTTCTATGAAACTATAACTTCAATTTTGAAATCAGAGCCCTCTATATACCCAATATTTTATATTTATAATAAATACAGTTTGAAAAATCAAAATAATATAAAATAATTGCTACAGCAACTAAAGCCAGCTCCTAACTCATAAGGAATAAAGATTATATTCAATTTAAATTGACTAACAGAAATTGTTATCTTTATAAACTATTTTAAAGACCTTATATCCTTTGTATTACATAGTTCGACTAAAACTTAAAAAAATATTTTTTTGAAAGAAACTCTATACCCTGGTGGCAAAATGACCATAACTTTTATCAATCAATGGAGATAGGAGTCAGAAGAAAGAGATAATCTGCCATATTAAAACAATCTTTCAATTTCTAACGTCAATTTTTTCAAAAAAATATCATAAGAAGTATGTGACCATGCAAAAATAATTGTTAAAAAAATTGTGTTCGTTATTTATAACGGGGTATTTAAATATTTTCTGCATATATGATTAAAGATGAAAGCTGATTTACATCGATGGTTAAATGGAGATAAACGCTGATTGGAAGATCGACTGATGGAATTTTAGAAATCTTACCAACCAGACACGAGATTTCCCTAAACGGAAAGTGGAGAAACCGGCAGGAAAAGGGGGGAACTCGCGAGGAGTGAAATGCCTCGATAAATCTATAACAAGGTTTCCCATCTCCTAACCTTAGTAATTAAAAACCTATCATCAAATAAATGATAGAAAATTATTCCCATATATTACTCAGCAGGATTTGATTTTTACATTTAAATGTACTCTTACTCAACTAAATATAGAATAAAGGGGTCACCCTTCAAACCACGGTCCAAGTGTTTTGCCACTCCACACTGGAATACGTTTTAAAATTTACAATATTACTAAATCATACAAAATAATAATGAGAGATTTTTATTGAAGGACAAAGTAAGAAATGGAACAACAAGTCACAACAATATTGTCTCATTGTTAACTGCTATATCGTAAGTATCTAGGCTATCAATAAAACGGTAGTGTAAATTCCTCTTCTCTCAGAGCGATGGATTTTGACGAATAAGGGAACGAAAGGGAAAGATAAGATTCATGAAGAAGTGACGAATCCCAATTTCAATTTATAAATTCTTTAATCGACTTTAATAATAAAAGTCATTGAAAAAATTGAGACGGAGTAAATCGTTTTAATAGTTTTAAGTATTTAAACATGCAAGACTAGGTATAGTTCAAAAGGAAATATCGGGTCTTGCATTTTTAAAGCCCAAAAATGTCCCGTTATTGAGATAAATCTTAATCCTCGGTGAATTACTCTTAGATATTGTGGATCACATGGGATACTTATCACGAGCTTTAGTTTAAAGATTAAAATATTGCTTTTAATGTGATTCTTCGACGAAATAAAAATTTATTGAAAAGGTAGGAGGAGAAAAATATAATGATCCCTTGGGCAACTGGGCAACTATCGAATGCCCAATATCGTCATTTCCATTGATTCTCTAGCACACAGGCGCATAAAAAAAAAAATATGATTTTCCTATTTAAATTTATTAATTGAAATATTAATTCTTTTATTGTCCTTAGTAAAATTAATTGTCTATAAATTTCCATTCAACCAATTATACCCTCCATTCACCGATGGATCGGATTCAGCAAAATGCTAATTTATTTACACCTTACATCGATTTTTTTGACAATCTGTGGCCTTGGTTTGAAAAGTTTCTAACTAACAAATTTGGGCAAATTGGGTTTACTGAGAGAGAAGTGCTATTCAACTTAGATATGATCATTCCTAGTATTATTGCGATAGCGCCATTGCGATATTATTGAAATATCGATATTTTTCTCTACTGTGCACTATATTCTGTATAAAATAGGCAAGATGAGTATATATTTTTTTCTAACGATCAGATTCATATATAATTCCTAAAGCTTTCCGAAAAACGATAGTCTTTAATTTTATTTAAGTGTTAAATTAAAATATATAAATATGGAATGGACGATATCGATAATCGATAATATAGAAGTAAATAATATCGATAATGAAATATCGAATATTGGAAGGAAAGTATCTTCGATATTTCGATACTATAATAATATAGATATAAACTTTTCGATATATTTAATAAGTAAATAAAAAATATCCTAAACTCTCAATAGTAGACTTCCTTACTCTTAGTAAGATAACTAGAAACCGAGGCTGTTCTGCACCAAACAATTAGGTGTTGAGCTAGTGCAATAACGGATTTGTACAAGTTTAGGGATAACTGAATTATTAAACTGAAGGGATATTTTCCAATGGATCAACCTAATCACTTATTAAGTGAATTGTAACTTTAAAATTTGTTTGTTGAACAGACGATCTTGATAATATATTGCATATGTGAATAAACGTGTTTTCCTGATGTCACTTAATGTGAGACTTGTCTTAATAGTATACAATAAATAGTATAGGATTCATTGTTGAACCATGTGGTACTCCCAAGAAGACTAGATGGATTAAAGAAATATCCGATATGGAAATTGCTTCAGCAATGTAGTCAATAACTCTGTTTAATTGATGTTTCGTCGAATGCAATGTACGATAACCGAACTGATGGTCAGTATGTTATCCCTTGGTCTTCCAATTAGTCATTTGTACATTAATTTTTAAAATGCTTTGGAACAACCAGAAAGAGGCTGGTCAGTCTGTAAGATAAATGACTGGTTATTATCTGGTTTATGAAACACTTTAATGAGCGAATATTTGAAATTTGATGTCCTAATTACACAGCTGTAACTTGTAAACAGCTAAACTTAGAGCCAACTCTAATCAAACATTTTTCTGCCATAAAATTTTTAGACGTCTATTGGAATGCCTCGTAATTATTAAATCATAACCAGGATTTTTCCTCTTAGGAAAATTTTGATTTTTAGAGCAACCGCAGATACATATTAAATTAAAAAACTAAAACAATGAGCCTTTTTAAACAAAATCATAAATACATGCTGTAATTTTTTCGAAAATATTTTATCAAAATCAGGATCTTTTAGGAAAATGTATTGTATGTAAATATGTAATTATTTTTTAGGAAAATGTATGTAATTATTTTTTTAATTTCCAAACATTCTATTCTTTTTAATTAATAAAATTATTCATTTTATTTTTACTTTTATAAATATGTTTTCCTTAAAATACTTCTTGGAATGTTTGTCAACCAATCTTTCTTTTAGACCTTTATTATTGAAGATTATCATTTTAAAAATACACTTTCGTTTTTGTTTTTTTTTAATGATGAAATAACATACATCCTGATTGCTCTAACTATTTTTCCCTATTTATTCCCTATTTATAACTATTTATTCTGAGAATTTGAGCCTTTGTCTTTTGCTGTTATCAGTTGTTTAAAGCAAAAAGCATTCGTTAATTTATGATAATCTAATGAAGGAAAATGCTAATATTTAAATTATAAGTATAAGGAAACGGAATGGTTAAACCATGACACATTTTAAATCATATTTATAACTGATGGCTTACTAAATATATGTATTGAACCTTTGCGTATCAAATATTATAAAATGGAAGTTGTGCTGAGCCCTCAATGTATTAAAATCAGATACAAATATTAAATTTGTGCGGAGTATTCGCACGGGTCAGCTAATTAAAAGAATAATCATAAATATATTTTTGTAATTTCATCGTTATTATAAAATCATAATCAGGAGCTTTTCTTAAAGGAAAATCTTTGATTTTTAGTGCAACTTCAGAAGAATTAAGGAGAAGACCGATCTCAGATTGTTTTTTCTCCATATTTTTACCCCGACAATAAATATTACGAATTTTAGGAACATCAACATACAATTAATTCAACTAATTTAAAGACGCTTGTTGAGCTGCTTTTGCACAGAATTTCTCGAGAAGGAAGTAACCTTGAAAATCTAAATACTATTATATTGTAGCTACGTTTATCATATAAAAGCATAAAATTGATTTATTAATGGATAATCCTTTACTTGAACAGGAATTCTTCATTTCGTTCAACATGGAACAGCGACTGTTTTGCCTTCTTTTTTATTTAATAAACTGAAAAAATCAAAACCAAGCAATTTCTTCACTTTTAAAAATAATATTAAATATCAATTAATGATGAGTATGATTTAACACGGAACAATACATTTTCTTATAGCTAATTACACATTAAGTAATTTTCTTATTTTTTGATGCCTAAATTGTAAAAATACATGTTTTGCATAATTATATTGTTTGTACTAATTATTGTTTTTCACAATTTTTGTAGGAATGCATGGACGCGAGGAATTCGTCTTACATAAATTGCCTTAACAACGATGAAGACATCGCATGGCTTCACGGATTGGGAAACATGTTCTACCTCCTGTCGAGAAATGAAACGACGTTCAAGAACGTCGAGGATGTACCACCTTTCTTCAGACAGGTATCAGATACACTTTACGCTCTAATAGCATTTTAATAAATGATACGACAAGATGTCAGATGATATGAGGGTGTCGAATGACTTAATTATATAATCATATCGGAATCTTAATGCGTCAAATAGAGAGCTTTGAAAATAGATCGATGTCAGGTCTGCAAGGTTAAATATCCTGCATAAATTTAATGTAGAAAAACTAAGTGAACATTTTAGCCAGCTTACAAAAGTGATCATAAATCGTCATATAATTCAAAAATCTTTTTTATAGTTCTAGAGAAATTTAAATCTTATATATATATATATATATATATATATATATATATATATATATATATATATATATATATATATATATAAAGTGGCCTTTAGTACCTTTTGAAATCCACTTCAACATCTGATGGTGGATGAAAGGTGGAGAATAAAAATGAACGAGTCTAAGAGCCAATTTGTTTCATTTACACTTAAACATGACTCTTGTCCTCCAGTGTTCTTTAATAATATCGCTCTACCACCTTCAAAAACTGTACGATATTTGGGTCTCCACTTGGACAAACGACTAACATGAAAATACCACATAAAACAAAAAAGAAAAGAACTTAATCAGCGATACGGACTTCTTTCTAGGCTACTTGACAGACGTTATAAATTATCTGCGACTAATAAATTAAATATTTACAAAGTCCTCATTAAATCACTTTGTACATATGGGATCGAACTATGGAGAACATCAAAAAAATCAAATATAAAAATCATCCAGTCATTCCAGTCAAAAGTCCTTCGGAAAATTGTAGACGCACCCTTTAATGTTTCAAACCTCACGTTACACACTGACCTTAACACTCCTTTCATCACGGCAACTGCCACTGACCGCTTTAATAATTTTCATGACAGACTGACTCTAAATTCCAATCCACTTGCTCAAGCTCTATCTACTGCCACAAATCCATATAATCCGTCCAGAAGACTGCTGAGGCGCTGGTCAAGAGACTTATTGCATTGAGCTACTTGCTGCATTATCTTTTTTTTTTGTTTATGTTATGTGTTATTTTACTACTGTTTTTTTTCATCTGTTTTGTTTTGTTATTACTATTATTTTTTTTTTTTATGGTATCATTTCTTCTCCTTGATATCATATTTGCTGAATACCGAGGTAGATGGCAAATTTATTGTGAGCCAGGAATATGTATAAAGTAATAAATAAATAAATAAACGCCTGATCACTAATTCCCTATATTATGATTGCTATGTAGCATTACAATTCGCGATGTAGCAAAAATATCTTTGTTTTCTGCATAAACAAAACATATTACAAACACTTTGTCTGTGCATAACGCTTTATACATTCTGCATTTACATGATCACCTTTCATTGAGCATTTCATTTCTTTTTTTTGGTAACGACACAATATTTATAACCTTCGTTGTAACTTACAGTTTTTTACATCACAATTTTCTGGTTTTTAAATTACAGGTTTTTAGAAAAGGCCAGAAGTAATGAAATATCGTAGATTTCATTTTGTGGTCTCAGAATATGTGCCAGGACAAAACTGACCAGAAAAAGTCAAAACCTCTTTTTCCATAGACATTATCCTTACAGGATTTTGCAATCTAGCTGTCGATTTATAATAAATAGTCGATACAAATTATGTTGTTTTGTAATTATTTTATACCTTAGATACAGCCAAAGGTGCCCAGAATGGGGTTAAATTGAGCCATAAAAATTTTTGAGGGTTGAACATTTTGATGAGGTTTTGAATTACTTGGGTTGGGGAGGGGCCACATTTCGATGAGGTTATGAATCGAACAGACCGCAAATATTGAATGTATTTATTTATATAGGATCTACAATTTTAAAATTTTATTTTCGCGGGAACTTTTAAGAAGGACAATAAAAGATCTTTGGAGGAGGAAATTCATGTGCCATTGACATTTGGGGGGAGGGATCAGCAACCCCACGTGTGAAATCACGTGTTGTTCGGAACCAGATAAAGGGACTCCAACATCAACATTTTTTTTCTAACAATATTATTATTTTTTTTATTTTTTTTCCATCAAATTTCATATTATACCATGGCATTTATTTAAAGTTCTAACGAAATAGATCAAAACTTAGATGAAGGATCTAAAATGGGTAATAATTTCAAAAATATTAGTGCAGATAGTGGAGGAACGAAACGGGGGCAATTTTGGGACAGCGTAATCGAAAAACGTGTAAAACAAAATTGCCAAAAGGAACAACATCAGAAGTTATTTTTTCAGCCAAAAAAGCTCGATTTATGTTTTGTCAACAAAAAGTTTAGAGTTCAGAGATCTCTCCTCTTAAGAATGACTTCGGGTTACATAATTTTTCATTATAAAAGAAAATAATAATGCAATTATATCTTTCTCAATATTAGTAGTAAATTATATGCCTGTCGGGCCTTTAATAAAAGCAGAAGCTGACTGGACCGCATTTTATCACGCAACGATGTACATCAAGCCCATATTTATAATTACAGTTCCCATCATTTTTTTTCTTTTCCTAACAGCTTTAAATTACTGTTGTCTAAAATAAGTCTTAGTCTTGCACTTTGTAAGACCAAGACCAAGCCCGCCTAATTGTTGGAAGACCAACGATTGTAGCAAGACAAAGGCAGGTAAAAATAAAAAATATTTTTTTGTGAATAAAAGTTAAGTCAAAATTATTACTAGTACTAAACAATTTTAGTTACTATACCCAAAAAAATGGTAGAACTAATATACTTTTGTATTTAACTCTTCCAATTTTTCATTTGGGATTTAGTTAGGTTTTCCCTATGGTAAATATTTAAAAAAATTAAAATAGATAGAAAAGTCATGTCAGTGTTACACGAGTTTTTTATATTTAAATAATTAGTGGTATTGTACAGATTGTCTTTACTCTTCAACTCTTCCGCTTCAAGATGAGGTCTATTACTATCTTTCTTGACAATACCATTAATGTATTGAAATTTTATTGATATGATTGGATTTTACTATGTTTATGTCAATAAAACATCTCAATGTTCTTATTCTCTTTTGTTTTCTGAAATCTAAAGTAACATTGTCATAATCCTACATTCTACAAGTACATTGTTTGTAATCCTAGGCGTACCGATAAAACAGCAATGAAGCAATAATCAAATATCACAAGCACTAATACTTAAATTTGCAGCATAGAGGCCATAAGTTTAAAATTTAGTTTTAGATTTTTTCGATTATTTCAGGTTTTTAAAATTTTTTGATCATTCCCAAAAATTAAAATTTAGTATATTTTAAGAACTAGGAGCCACTTCGAGGCTCTTTTCTATCGGAGACTATACGCTTACCGTTTGATACATCTCTTGGTTAATATCGTGTATATATATATATTAACATATATATATTAAATTTGCATTTTAAAAAAGTAAATAAATGAATAAATGAAGATATATGCATCAGATATCTAGTTTTCAAATGTTTTTAATGTTCAATAAAAAATATTGAAATAAAAAATGTACCTTTTTTTACACATGAATACAATACAAAAAAAAAATTTCGATGGATTCATATATACCTGAGGTTGGTTATTCGAATACTGTTATATAACAGGAATGATCCAGAACGGGTGGTACACACTGTTACTTATTCAGGAGCATGGAAATAAAAATAGATCATTTTTTAATCTGCAGCGGATGCTTTGCATATTATGATTACATAACAAGAACGATCAAGAGGGAATCTTTTTTCCTTTTTGCCTCTGAGTTCATTCATTTTAGCGACCTCAAGATAGATAAAGTATGAATAGAATTTAAGAGGAATAATATTTAGAGATTGATTATTTACTTATAGAATAATTATTTATGACCTAACCTTATTTGACCTGAGGTCAAAATGTAATGTGATTTAAAAAACAAACAATTAAAACAACGAATGAAGAAAGGCTATACCAAGGACGTGTTTTAATCATTCGGAAAAATTGCACAACATGATGTTTATTCATTTCGTTTCAGCAAATTGGAGCAAACAATATCAGCATAAACATAATAACAATGTATCTAGTAATAACCAGTTTTTGTTGTGGTTAATTATCACTAAAATACCAAATAACGTAATGAATAAAATCAATCAAATTTAACTTTAAATATATGCCATAAAACTCATCGCCAAAATTAAAAACACCTATATACGCTGGGGCAGATTTTATTCTTATTTAATAGACAAATAAAATGCTTGAACATGAATTTTGATTTTAAATACATTTGAGCCCCTATATACATTGCAATAAATTTGGAATTGATGTTCACCGTAAGACTGTAAATAGAAATTGGATTTATCATTATTCCGAAACCTTGAGTAATTTGGAAATGCTTAAAATATCATTTATGAATGGAATTAAATTATTCACTGCTATTTAGGATATTGATGTTTAATAATACATGTTTATTAGATAACCGAGTGTGGGATTATAGATGGTAATGACATTTCAGTATCTTAAGCAATTATAAAATCAAATTGTCCCATACAGTTTCGGATAGGTCGTACGACCGGTAAGACGAGTCTTGGTCTTCCGCACTCAGTCTTACGCAAGAGTCTCGCTAGTCTTGCAGCTACCTATTAGCTTATTATTAAGAGATATTACAGTAATTTTTCAGATAAAGAAAACCTAACTAAGCCCAAATCAAAAAGAGTTAAATGCAAAAGTATTTTCTTTATACCAAGTATTTACATATAGTAAATAACATTGTCAATTTTATTAGTAAGTTGTTTTGCTTTAATTTTAGCCCTTAGTTGGGTATCCCCAAGAGAACGATGAACGCCATTACAATGAGAGTCCTTAAAGGATCTCATATGAACTACAGTAATTGGTTCAGGCTGCTTTCTCGTTTATAGCGCGATAGTAAATGATTTTATTGTTGCCATAATTTACGTTCTTACGTGTTTATTTTTAAATTTTATATTTGTTTATTTTATTTATTTTGTTATTTCTATTTATTTTTTATTCACTTATGTATTATAGTATTACTT